AGTAATCTGAGGAGCATGACTGTAATGCATGAACTGGCGGGCGGGTGCGAGATTTAGGCATGAAAGTGGGAGCAAGAAATCAATTGTCAGAGCTTTCAAATTTTACCGCTGTTTTTTTTTTTTTTAACACACAACATATCCGAATATTCAAATGAAATGTCACCCGTTATTCATACTCATTTAATTGCTTTAAAATTGAAATCTGAACTGGTCATAAAAGTCCTCCGCTTACCTCGTCCCCAATTGGACAATTCATGGGAGCTTAACATTCAGAGTAACAATTATAACGACATGAAAGGCTGGACGTGACATCCCATTTTCCAAGTCCCATTCTCCTCCAATCTCTCTCTCTTTTTTTTAATTTCTCCATAAAAAAAAAAGAAAAGAAAATCAAAGGTTGAGTGAGAGTTGAGACAGTGGCTTGAGGTATGGAGATATTTCCGCTATGGCTATCTAAAATATCCTAAAATTAACCTCAACTTTTAATGGTGAACTTGTGGTAATTGTATTTTTACAAATGAGCAGAGGTAGGAAATGAAAAAGGGCCAATGGATGGTCACACACGTGGGCTGCGTTCGTGCAGTAAATCCAAACAGTCCATTTTTGTTTGTAACGCGCAAATTCCACAGAATGTAAAATGCATGGAGCCTCTCTTTGATTTTGCTTCTTTCTTGTTTTGTTTTTAATGCGCTTTCATTCATTTTTAATTTAATCGTCTCCTCCCATTCCTTTCAGGATATTTCACATGCTTCTTGCACCAGGACTGGTAATGTGAATAGAAGTGAACATTTGATCAGTTCAGTTTAAATTTCTTTAATAGCAATCGATTGAATTATATAAAAAATTTAAGTCAAATCAAATTAAAATACATAATCAAATCAAATTAAAATTAAATTAAATTATAATGATCAATTCGATTTATCTATTCAACTCATAGGCTTTGATTTGAATCTATAGAGTCTAATTATTTATATATTTTTCTATTTAATTTCTTCTTTGATGTTGAATGCCTAACAAAAAAATAACAATGTTATATTGTAATTCATAAGAAAAGTAATAAAATCAATATTATTGCATTAAAAACTAAATTATAAAAATAAAAAATTAGAACATTACATTTAATAAAAAAAAACTACTATTGCAAGTAGTAAAAAGATGTTTCTTACTTATTTATATGAGAATTTATTCATATTTTTTAAAATATAAAGAAAAATATATATATAATTCAAGCTATTCAGTTTTTGGTTTAAAAATTTTTAGATTGAATCGAACTGATTAATCAAAATTTTTTTTAAAAGAAAATCAAATCAAACTAAAAAACTGAATA